CTAGCATTTGTGGTTGATGAGTTATAGCCGTTCAAAGGTAACCAATCACACTTGCGTTTCTTTTGGTAGCTACTGTATGTAAATTCTTAAATTTCTAATTTATTAATTTTCTTTAAGATTAAAAAATATGGTAAACCGGAATGTGTATTTTGCAATCCAGTACTTCTTCCTCCAGATATTTTTAAAGAAGTCTATTGGATACCAGATTCACAAAAATCTAGTGGTAAATTTTAATATTTTTAAAATATTTATTTATATTAGAACTGTAAACGACATTAATAATCAATAATTTTCTAGATTTTGACCGTTTTCAAAACTTTGATTCTATTTATGGGCACAATACTACTGAATAAGATTGTCTAAGTAAGCAATCTAAAAAAGACAAAAAGGAATATGCACTTCAAGGGATACTTGTTTCTGGTTGAATTCGTGATTTTATCTGGTGTAAATCATGCAAAAAGCTGCGTTGTGTTTTTAGCAAAAATGTATTGATTGAAAAGGAACAAAAAGATTTGGAAATTTTATTTGAACAATATGACTATACCTGTGGATCAAAATTACTTTCAGAATCCCATTCTTTCTATAATACTGTATTTGTTAAAGTAAATTTGACATGTGAATCTCAAATTAAACAATTGTATTATTCTTCAAAAGTGGCACATAAAGATATTTGTATTTTTTGTGAAGAGGATGATTTAGCAGAAAAACCAGAAAATTTGGAACAAAAGTGAGCGTCTGTATATGCTATGTGTAAAGTATGTGAAGCAAGTGAAAAAAAATAGATGTGTAAAATCAAAAGACAAGTAAAGAAAAAATGATGTGTTGCGATTACATAGATATTTTGTCTTATTGGTGATTCACATGTAATCACGTGCAAATAAAAAAATTATATTGTGTTCTCCCTTAAATTTTAAATTTTTATTATTGAATATAATCAGATATAATTATTATATGATCCTTCCTCCCCTTTCATTTTTATATAGTAAAATCGTGTTAATAAAATTAATTTGATCTGGCCTAAGTTAACTAACAAAAGGGGATTGCACAAATGTAAAGGATCACAGATAATGTATAACAGTTTCAAAGGGTTTGCAAAGGATAAGTTTTATACTTGGTTAATTATACTTCTTTATTAATATAATAAATAAGTTTAGTACCTAAAAGATTAAGATCTCGTCGGTCACCTTTGCTAGAAAGGTGATGAGACTTAATAAAAATACAAAGATATTTATACATATTAAATAATTAAATAGACTAAACTAAAAATATTCAAAGAAAATAAAGTTACCATTTTGCTAAGCAATAAAGTTGCCATATCAATAAAATTGCCAGATCTGCAGGCAACTAAATGAACATCTATGATCTACGTGATCAAAAGCAATAAAATTAACATCTAAGGATTTACATAATTGATTGACAGCAATAAAATGGATAAAATGATTTTCATAGAAGATCTACATGGCAATAAAATTAACTTTCTATTCTACCAATTAAATCTATTTAAAATTTTACCCGTCACAACGCTTAATAGCATTTAAGTCAATTGGGATAAATCTGTTCTTATGATTAATGATAAAGATCCCGCTCCTGTTAATTTCAACTTCAATAGAAACAATATTTGGCTCTTACCACTTTACCACAACGAATCCACCAAATACTTAGGAGTCTGGGTTTCTCTATTTAACAACAGACAATTTATTACCAAACAAATTAGTGATGAGTTTACTAAAACAAAGAATGTGCTTAGTAAAAAAAGGCTGACTGCAAAACAAATGGTTGCAATTTTCAACACAGTCATCATTTCTCGTCTCTTATATAAGACAAAACTGACGTTTATTCCTTGTTCAGCATGTGACACTCTGATGGCCTCCTTCAGAAATTTCTTTAAAAAAAAACTAGGCCTCTCAAGATTAATATCTTCTTCTGTCCTTCACTCAACTTTTAGTTACAATTTAGCATATTTGTATGACAAATAGATTCAAGCCAAGTCATCTGATCTATTAAAGATGATTAATGATATTTCACTCCTTGATTTAACCTTAAGGTTACGAATTCTACAATTACAACTTTTAGAATGGTTACCCTCATTACCATTAACTGACTGGCCTTATATAGACACTAAACCTTTTAAAAACTGGTAGTCAGGATTTCTGTCAGCTGCTAAGCAGACTGGACTTAAATTCCAACAATGTATAGATACAGATTACAATTTAAAACAAATAGAAGGAGGGACACTCCCAATAATACATTCTCTCCCTCCAAAGGAATATCGGCAAAATATTACGAAACTGCGATCACTTTCGATCTTATATGTTGATTAACTCACCACTATAGATGGAACTTACCTGTTAACAGCCTTTGACTTAAATATGATTTACGCTTTAGTTTTCATAGCGCTAAATAGTTCAAATTATTAAAATTACAGCTCCTAACATGTAATTCAAATAGACTCTTAAATAACAAGTATCCCCCTTACACGTCACTCGTCAAAACGCTAACTCGACCGTTCAACTTTAATGCTTTAGCAATCAACCTAACCTTTGTTACAATTTAGTCCAATCAGTATATGACATTTATAATGGGCAAAGTAGTCAAAGTTGAAGATACTATCATCCATACACAACATTATTTGCCAAATCAAACTAATAACCTTCAAACACCTATTGCTTCTTATACTAGATGTAACCTTTTCGACCATTCAGCTTTTATACCTTATAAACAACAACAACACCATCATTTTTGTGCCATCAAATTACCCAAATCATTTTGTTCCATATTTAAAACTTTTCATAAATACCGCGAAAGATGGTGGTGTAGTCTTTCTCATCTCATGCTTCGTGAAATTGCTCTGTCAACATTAACCTCTCCTTATCAATATCCAACCAGACCTTTACCTAGCTTAAATATTATCCCCTTTGATCAAACATCCATTAATAAACTAGATCGTCTCAAATCCCAATTTACTAATGCTAATACTCTTTAATTCTATACAGATAGTTCACTCACATCCTTAGGATCTTCTGAATGCCGGATGGGAATAGCGTGGTTATAAACTGATAAAAAATGACTGTTGGTATCCTTTAATGCAACACTTATATCATACTCTTCATCCTCAACTTTAGCAGAAATAGTTGCTATTCTTGTTGCAACATACACAGCTCTACCGAACTCCAACATTAATATCTGCACAGATTCACAAGCTGCAATCGCCTCATATCACAAAATCATCTCTATATGTGAAGAATCTATATCCCTTAACCCTACATTTAAAATTCCCTATTTTCACATCTGGATGATGTTGATACAATTTATTACATCCAATAATATTTTTCTATTACTGACTAAAGTCAAAGCTCATAGATCAGATGAACTTAACAATAACTCTCTGGTGCCTCTTTGAGTATTAACAGCAACCACCTCAGTCCTAAATACTTTATGAGCTATAATAACATACCAATTATTATACCATCACATTTATTTATTAAATATATGCAACAAGCATCTTGGGCTGGAATGCTTTTATCCCTTTTCCAATTTGCAAACTATCACAATTTTCACATAGATTGGCAAATTCTCTTTTACGTCCTAAATGATTCAGAAAATGCTAAGATAATATCATTTAATGTGTACAAACGGAAGCAATTCAAAATTAAGTTACTGCTACAATTACTTTCAACTTTAAAAGTAATGAATGCTCAATATTCACATATCTATATCGCTAATACCTGCTTCCATTGTAATATTGCAATTAAAGATTTTGAGCATATTTGGTCTTGTTCTCAGAATTCTACCTTTCTTACTGACTTAATCTAAAAACACAAACAACCATTCTTGTCTCACCTCAAAGAGCTAAACAAACCTAACAATGATGCCCTAATTGATGCTATTGACCAATATTCAATATGGTATTGCAACTCCTTCAATAACAACTTATATTTTGTGAATCTCATTAAAGGAATAATCCCTTTATCATTTTCCTCCTCAATCACTTTCATCACCAACAATAAACATCTTATTCAAGAATTGTTATCATCCTTATTTGATGATATTTTCTCCTCAGCTCATAACATATGGTTGATAAGATGTATATCACTACAACTTTAAAAAACTTCAAACAATATCAAAGATGATTTTACTGTTACTTGGGCCTCCTCTGGACTCCCACAACCTATACAAACTTCACATAATAACTTCTCCGCCTTCGCTGCAGCTGTTGCTTTTGGTTTTCACTAGTCAAATTTTTAGTACAGCAGTAACCATGCTCTCCCTCTGGACGTTTCATATCTGTATCTTAGTATAGTTTAGTTTCTTTTTTTTTCTAATGTATAGTTTAGTTCAGTAAAAATGCAAGGTTGGTATTGATAAAGTAGTTTAGTTCACTAGATTAGTTTATAGATATTTTTGTATTTTCTATTTTATTTTGTTTTTCTTGTAATCTCATAAATATTAATAAAGATCATGCGAGACTACCGCACTTAATAAAAAAAAAAAAAATGGAAGACGCTGCGCAATATCTAAAAAATTTTGTTTCTCATGTTAAATATAGTTTTTCTCTCGAAGGGGAGGCTAAAAAAAGATAATTTTATAAATAAAATGTTCGATATATTCTAAAATATCTAAAAAATAAGAAATAAAAAATGCATTCCTTTTAATAACTATTCAAGAATTTCTTTATGAAAGTGAAAGTAATTCTGAAAAAAATAGTGATTTTGAAGAAGAAACTGAAGTTAATGATTTAATTACCTTTAATTTACTTTTATTTTCAAAAACAAGATATTCTAATACCCGTTTATATAATATTTTAAAGTCTTCTCACTAGTATTATGAAGTTTTACCAACTTATGATAATAATCGTTTTAAAAAAATATTACGAATGCCATTTGAACATTTTAAAACTTTAGTTAATTTAATTT